CTAATTTCGTAAATTAAGCCGGACTTCGAAGTGAAGTGGGCTTAAAAAGGAATACACTAGGCTCAAGAATACTGTTTACATAAGCTGTCTGAGGGGAAGCAATCTGATGCGTCCGGATCCAGAGTAAAAAGTGAGAGTCGTAATGTAGGGATGAGGATAAATTCGATGGCATAAAGAGAAGTGGAACTTACTGAGATCGGCACCGGAGGCCCACCGAAGGGGAATGGAAGAAGACACGGGGGCAATGCTTGTGGCATTGAAGGGATCGGAAAAGAGTACTCCGCTGCGACTGGCCACTCCACTAAGAGGTCCCTCATACAGCGCCGCAGTGAGGCTCGGCGTCGCCAGGCGTTGCCACCGCTGTAGCACACCCGAACCCTGCAACTGCTTCACCAGCTGCAGGCGCTGTGGACGTCTTGGAGAAAGAGGAGATAGTTGGGTACTTGTGCATTCCAATCCCTTCCTAACCCATCGAATTCGTACATTCAAACAAGTTTTGTGTTCTTCCAAATAACCAGAGGGGTTACTGATTGCTTTGATCAGGCATGTAACACTAACATGCGCAACTGCAATCGACTAATTACCAGAATCCCTAAGCAGAGTAACAGCAGAATAAAAGGGACCGAAATTACATCTAAACAGTAGCTCTATAGGACATCTTTCCATCCTTACCAAACTCATTCGCCACTTAAATAAGTTTAGAAATTTGCACAATTGAAGCTTCTGTTCAACAATACTCTAACTTCCACCATCAACTGATGCAGACTTGATTAAACTAATAGAACTGTGCAGAAAGTTCGTTTGTAGGTTATTCACAAACCGTTCCATAAATAAATACGCTCCAAGGAATGCCATCAATGCCTATATATCTTATTCTCAGTAGACAAGCGGAGAAATCAAAGGAAATCCTACACGGCTTGAGCAAAGATAGATGTGGGGCCAGTTGATCCGAGGGTGCTGTCATCAAAGCTGTGCTGCGGTGGGATTGTGGCGGTGTTCTGGTCAATTACCCAACTACGACGATTCGTCGAGGGCTCGTGAGAAGATGGAGAAAGTTTTTGCACATCCGACACCTTCGGACGTCGGACCGCCCTTGGTGAAGAAAAAGAGTATTCCCAATCAGTCTAAAAGTCTTTAATGAGAGGTATGGCAGAAGAGATCCAATAATTAATGAGAAATGATGGGGCTTATGCTGCTCTTGAGATAAGAGTTTAATAGGTGAGAAGAAGTGGAGAACAGAGTGTGCAGTAAAAGTACCCTTACCGATCAGTGGAGGTGGGTTGAGAAGAGATGTGGTGTTGAGTAAAAGCGCGAATAACTTCAGAGGACTCGTCTTCATCTTCTTCTATCTCTGGTTCCCGGTCCACATCCCAGTCGATGCCATGCTGGAGGGCCAGGAGTTGGCTGTCCGGCGGTGGTGGTGATACATCCTCTGTGAATCCTCCTGATGCTCTGTGGGCAGAGTCTATCGGGTCTGTCAGAGCCACCGCCAAAAAATAGATCGAAAGCGCCACAATCCTTCATTACAAATCGACTTTATGTGGCTACTTCAAGGGCTTTCATGAAACGAGTTGATCGCAAGGCCAATTCAAACCAACAAAATTGTGAGGGGAAAAGCCTATGGAAAACCGCCTATTTATAGTCAGAGTGATAACCACTAAAAATGAATCTGTAACCCTGTCGAAACATCTTTATCAACAGTAATCGCAACCTCTCAGATGGCAACACATCTTACTCACTGCATTTGGTGCAAGAGCAATGATAAACTAAACGTCCCTTTTAATGAAAGTGTGCAATTGATAGACTCAGAAAAATGCAAAAGGTGCTTATCAAGAATCGCAAATCATGCCTGAACAGCTGGCGAAACCACTACTATCAATGGTAGGATCATCCCACTCGGTACAATCTGTTCCCTTCTGCGTCCTGGAGGCGGCATGGTCGGGATGCATCTCCACGTTATCACCCGCTACCTGGAAAGATCGATGGTCAGGCGGACAGCGAGCCGCACCAGACTGTGTAGATCTGCAAGGAAAAGTATGCCAATAACTACTGACAGACCAAAAATAGGGTAGAGCTAAAAAGGCGCAGAAGTACTTTTCATGGGAAGATGAGAGAGCAAGTTCATCGGCTATGGAGAGAGGTTTATCAGGGAGAGGCGAAGGGAGGATATCAGTGCCCTGTCTACTCCCAAGCGGACTGTAGAGGAGGCGTGTCGGCCGCAAGCTGGCTCGCCGAGATCGATCGCGTAGTTTGCGCACCGTTGCCTGTGCTTGAGTGTACAGAATTAAGCTCTCGTCGTACTTGTCCTTCATGTCGCGCAACTCACGAACTAGGTTCTGATTCACTGTGTCCAGCTCCTCCACTTTTGAGGCGAGCATCTCGTTTGTCAGGCCAACCTTCAAAGATCAGTTGGACTGAATATTACGCAAATGTCCTGTCACGCCATGCCATCCACGTTGCGTTCTCGTGGTCTTAACATCAAGCCTTTTAAACTTTGTGCCCGCCAAAATCAAAGCTCCTTATAAAACTCGAAAGTGTTTTCGTAGCCTCGGCGGCCAAACAGCCGTTACAGAACATATGTAAAACGTCAAACCAATTAGTAAACATTAAAGCTTTTGACCAATGGGAAAATCGGCTAAAAGTAAATCCTAAACGAAGTTTAGTATTTGAGTGGACCAAGTATGACCTCTTCAGGACCTTTGACGCGTTTCTGGCAAGTTTATCTAGGGCTAAGATAACCTGTCCAAATGAGAGGCCAGTCAGAAGAATGTAGCGACAGCAACAAAATTAGGAGTAGTAATGTATGACCAATAATGGGTGATCTATAGTAAACTGCAACTAAAACAATCGGTGATAAGCTCTCCAATAGGTGAAAGTTTCATTAAATTAAAATTACGAGGATAGTAAGTCGTACCTGGTTGAGGCTGTTTTCTAACTCTCGACTGCGAGCAGCAAGAGCGTTGACCTGATTCTGTTGTTGCATGAGGGCATCAGAGCGGCGGAATTGCTCGTCAGAAAGGTTCTTCATGTACACCATCGCGTCACCCAATTTGCGAAGACATTCCTTCAACGTTACTGTCTGTTGTTCGTCCCGCTGCTGGGAATGGTAACAACACATTTGAACTTTGATAAAGGTGGGACTATGGACCTCTCGTTTCTCGCGGCGCAGCCATTAAGCCAGAAAACATTGAATGAAGTTACCGTGAAAGCTACGGAAGTGCATTGCTCCAGATTTAAATCCAACTTTAATCCAGTGTATCCAAACAGTAGAAGCACCAAAAAAATTAGGCACGCATCCTAAACCCTTGGAGCTAATGCCTATTAGGAACTGCAGAGCATGAATTATAAGTGCAAAATGGGTAAGAATCCACCTCTGTTGGAGTAATGGTAAGAGAAATCGCGGTGGCGTAACCACTTTCACCGCAGACAAAATGAATGAACTTAGTTTAACCTTTCCCTAAACAAGCAGACTACCCGACTCCTCTGCCCTTCTCAGAGATGTAGTTGACAAAAGGATTTCCGTGTAATGTGAAGGATAACGAA